CAGGGAGCCTCATGCGGGGCTAGATCCCAGGACCCTAGGATCATGACCTGAGCCGAAGGCAGACATTATCGACTGAGCCACTCAGGTGCCCCACCCACTCTGTATTTTGATAGCACTTACATTATACCTCATCTTTGTTACTGTAATGATTGCATTTCTCTCTTCTGTACTGGGTAGTGACCTCTCTCTTTCTAACCCTTGAATAACAAGCACACAGCACAAAACAGAGCCAATATACTTTGTATTTAGGAATTGATTCAATAATTGAATGAATTGGACTGGACTGGAAAATTCCATGAGAATAAGGGCCATTTCTGTTTTTACTGTCTGCTGTATGCCCAGCTCCTAACACAGTTCCTGTCACATGGGAGGGATTTTGTAAGTATTTGTTGTGTAAACATTGGATGACGTAGTTCTGAAGTTCATTGGAAGTGACTGGTGGATAGAACTCTTACGAGACTTTGTGAACAAGTATGATGCATTTCATAGCAACTTAACCTTAGACGCAAAAATGTCAATAGATATTCATAACTATTCTAATGTTATATCTCAAACTCTTTGTATCCTCACTCAGTTTCCCTACCCATCCTACAACTCCCCCATCCCAGGTATTACAATCCTTGTATTCATCTTCTTGTTATCATGTGCGTGCCGCTTGAACTTTCAACTCCACGTCTTGTGTCTTTCCTTCTCTCATTCATATTTCTGACCTACAACACAAATGTACTGAGCATTTCCATGTGCCAAGTATTGGGCAAGTTGCTGCCCATGCGGATAACAGTACTCATCCACCCCCCACTTGCCCCTGGGAGTAAGTTTTCTAGAGGAAGAAATAAGCATGAAAAGAGATCACCATAATAAAGTTGGTTAAGGACTAACACAGAGGGCAAAATACTATAAGAGCATAGGGATTTTTTAAAAATTTTATTTATTTATTTATTTATTTACTTACTTACTTACTTATCAGAGAGAGTGCACAAGCAGAGGGAGCTGCAGGCAGAGGGAGAAGCAGCTCCCCACTGAGCAAGGAGCCTGATGAGGGACTCGATCCCAGGCCCCTGGGTTCATGACCTAAGCTGAAGGCAGATGCTTAAGCAACTGAGCCACCCAGGCACCCTGTGTAGGGGATTTTTTTTTTTCACATTTTTCCCCGTGCCTAGAGTGTCACTCTCCCACGTCTCCCCTCCCACATCACTGGTAATGTTCTACTTGCCCTTTAACAATAGGGCCCACATCTTCCTTCTCCAGGAAGTTTTTCTAAATGTTTTCTGTTTAATCTTTTCCCCCACTCCCCCACCCCAACATGCTTCTCATAGGATTTGCTGGAATTCTCCACTAGACTGCATACCTCTAGGTCAGGAACTATACCATTTCCATTCTTGTGCCCTCATACAGTTCTTTAAACATTGTATGTTTATTGAATGGAAACATCTGTCCTTTTTTAGTCACGACATCCCCCCACTCATACCCCACACTTCAGCACATGATTTATTTCCTCTCAAAGATCTCCAAGTCATTTCTTGCGCTGTTCTTTACCTCTATATTGCGGTAGGTTGCCATGGCTACCGCTACATATTAGAAACGTTGTTCTGTTGAACTTCTCTCTTTTGAATTCAAAATGAGGAACTGATTGGTCAACTAAGTGGATGACTCGTTTTCTAGTCAGACAAGGGTTCATAGTGAAAATCAACTTACCATTAACCATTTCTTGTATTTAGACACATTTTTTTTTTTGTTCTTTGGATATCTAGATTTTTGTTTGTACCTTTTTTTTTTTTTTTCCTGATTCCAAAGAAATGATTTTGAAATCTGCAGTATTTATTTTTAGGAATACTTCATTGTGCTTAAAAACATACTGTGTGTCTCAGCTGCATGTGCCAAAGGGTCTACAGATGCAACTGCTTATAAGAATTAGAGTTCATCACACATGATAGGCTAAAGTTAATGATTATTTATAGTTCACCAATGCCCTGAAGCTACCCCTATCATGCACGTGCACACTTAGAACGTAAAATATTTCTTTCATGTCCTTTTCCAACATGCTCTAGGTCTAATACCTTTGAAATGGCTTTTTATTTCTCTTCTTGTTACTTCTTTTGGTTAAAACCAGTTAATTTAAATTTTTTGAATGGTCAGCTTTTTCTGAATAGTAGATTAGACCCAAAACTTTCCCGTTGATTTTTGTGGAATATTCCTTAATTTGAAATATTTTTCTAGACAAAACGGCTCCAAGAAAAACTTGTCCCTGGCCTACATTTTTGTCCTTTATGGAATGAAGAAAAGATCTCTCAAGAAAGCATACTTACTTAAACCATTGACTCCTGGGCCCACTGAATACCCTAAAGCATATCCAGCCCAAATTTCAAGTTCATGCTCATGGGTTTGGTTAAGATGAAGAAAAAGAGAGAGCTAGCAAGAGATCAACACACACCTATTTTGTGCCATTTTCCTTGCTGTTTAGATGTGTCTGATTCTATTTCTCTGTTCATGATAAGTCCGTAAGAGTTGACCCTTCGTTTTAGTCAGTGCCGTATTCTCAGAACCTCGAACAGCGGCTGGCACGGGGTTTATGATTAACACTCAAGGGTGAATGAACTAATGAGTGAATGGATGAAAAGGCTTTGAGTTAGAAGTGTTTCTTCATATTTGTAGCACTTATTGTGAATCCTAAAACCAATGTGTTTAAATAGTTTTTACAGAAATGATACTTGATAAGTCAAAAAAATAAGTTTCTTTTAGTACATTCTTAAGAAGCGCTGTTGACAAGTGCAGTACTAGTTATTCACTTCTTATCTGGAACAGTGTGCTTTTCCAGTTTATCACGAATTGTGGGACCCCGCCTCATATAAGCGATAGAGCTATAGCACATTGTTAGCACTGGGACCGGCCCGCATCTGGCATATGTGCAGGACCACAGGATGGGGTAGGGAGACAGCGTCAGGTGGAATTAAAAGCAGAGGGCTCAAAACAGGTAGATCTAGATTTAAATTTTAGCTCCAACACTACCCAGCTCTATGACACTGGCAATCACTTAACCATTCTAGGCCTTTATATTCTTGTCTATAAAATGGGCATAAAAGCATGCCAGACTTGCTGACTTAGGAATAAGGGTTGGAGGGGATAATGGAGTACATGTAAATACATGTGTCTGTGCAATTTTTCCAGCCCAACCAACTCCCAAGGAGAGCTGTTCATTCTTAGTTAAGAAGCTAGTGAAAAACCTTTGTTCATCTGTCTGGAAAACTGAGTTTTAGCTTTGCTCTGGGTTGTCGAGAGTCCCTCTTTGTCTGTCTCATTATTTTTTTCCACCTGTAAAACTAAAGCATATTTAGTCTGATCTGTCTTCTTCATGGGAATTTAAGAATAGCTAAGCGAACAAATGAGAGAAGAAAATAGCTTTGAACTGTTTAAAAGAAAGGTGCCACAAAAAATCAAATAGAGCTCTATAGATAGTCCAAACTCAATTTAAACTAAATCTGACATAAATTCATTATAGAATACAGGTCTCTGTGGCCTTATACTTCGTGATAACCTAAGAGGATTGAAATATTTTGCTGATGTGACAAGTGTCTAGAAACACTGCTTATCAAAACAGGATAAATTGCATTCAGAAAATAACTGAGCATATAACAGCTTCCTCTTGATGATCATCTCCATGCATCAAGTGTAGTGATATTCTTAAAAGACATATTTCCTATGACAAAGAATGGCAAAATATGCCACTCAGTGTAACTGTCATATTTCAAAACACATGCTCCAGGAATTGAAGTAAGAAAACCTTACGTATTCAAGAATCCAAGTTAAATATGTAAATACAGTAAATCTAAAGTACAAGCCAATAATAACCTCCTCGAATTTTCAAGATCTAAAGGACCCTGGACATAACCCAGTCCGTTTTTGTCACAGATTAATTATTGATTTTTTTAAAGAAAAACAAAAGTTTTTTCTAAAAGTAAATGTTCCACATATAATTTTGTCACAGTTGATGTATTTTTTTTCTTTGAGAGAAAAAAATAAAATAATAATATAAGCCCATTAGTGGGGCTCAGAGAGCCAGAACAGGATTCCAGTTATGTTGAATGAGGTATTTCAATCTCAAAAGTTTATAAATCAGCAGAAGTATATAAAAATATAATTTGGTGTAGAAATAAATGTAATTCCTGGTAAGACTCATAAAATATCTTTTAGTTTTAGATTCTGAAGTCTGTACTATTTGATTGTAAAAAAAAAAATGGGATAAGTAGAAGGAAAACCCAAAAAAGTTTGGCAGTGACGGATAGAGTGATTCAACAGAGCCATCAAGAACGCTGAAACGAGGGGGCCCTAGGTGGCTTAGTCGGTTAAGCATCTGCCTTTGGCTCTGGTCATGATCCTAGGGTCCTGGGATTGAGCCCCACGTCCGGCTCCCTGCTCAGCGGGGAGCCTGCTTCTGCCCCTGCCCCTCCACCTGTCTGTGCTCTCTCTTTCTCTCTCTCTCTCTCAAATAAATAAATAAAATCTTAAAAAAAAGAGAAAAAAAAAGAAAAAAACAATGCTGAAACCGGACACCTAATGTGAGACCTCAATGGTCAGAGTGGCTGGCTTCCCGAATTAATATAATCACTGAATAAATGTGGAAAAATGAAAAATAAGCGTTTCTTAAATAGCAGCATGTGAATTTCCTTAAGTTGCGTTAGTTGTTTTTCAAAACTTTAACCTTGTTTAACTATTAACATGGGATTTCCAAAATTCAAATACGGGATCCTGAGGCAGGAAGCTTGTGATTTTGAATCCATGTCTCAGTTCAGAAGTCCTATTTTCCTTTTGCAGAAAGTATAATGAAACTTGCATTCATTCTCTGCAGAAACATCATCAAATACTTGACCAAAATAGTTTGTAAAAAATGCAGCCAGCATAGATATTTATATGTTCTGTGCGAAATTAGATGTGTGTGTGTATATGCATTTGTATATTTTCTGTGCATGTATCTAGATACTGAACGTCTTTTCTTTTACTTCTAGGGCTGTCAGAAAATAGAGGATTTTAATAATGTGATACCTGACGGCCTGAAATTGAGTTTTCTCATAGCCTTGGTTTCAAACAATGGAGATTATACATGTGTTGTTACATATCAAGAAAATGGGCGTACCTTCCATCTCACTAGGACTCTGAGTGTAAAGGTGGTAGGTAAGCATGATTTTTAAGTGCACACAACAAAAATGCAGTAACTCTGGTTTGGCTCTTCATAGTTTATTACAAACAAGCGTGTCCATTCTGTGAGAAAAGAGGTTTATCTTTTTTGTTCACTGCACTGTCCCTAGAGCCTCAGCAATTCCACATACAGAGTAGGGGTTCAATAACTATTGGTCTACTGAATGAATTAATATGTGAATGAATGAGGGCAGTTTGGGGAGTGAAAAGAGTGCCAGAGGAATCTGTGTTCACCTTGTACCCTTACCATTTATTAGCAATATGACTTTGATCAGGGTCTGGGTCTCCTTAGCTGTACTCTGGAACTAAGAGTACCTAACATTCAGTATAGCTGAGAACATTAGAAATAATATACATATTATGCTAGCCCAGTTCAAGGCAAACAGCGGAAACTCAATGAATTAAGTAGTTAAAATTATTATCACAAAAATGTTGTATTTGAATTCAATCAGCTCTGTCTTTCTGTGGACTGGAACAGGGGTAGCTGAAGCTATTTGCCAGTGGTGTTCAACCTTTGCTTTGCACTGGTTGAGAGAATGGGGGGTGAGATATTCAGAAAGTGGAAAGAACAATGTCCAGGCAGAGTCAAAAGACTCCTATCAAACCCAGAAATTGAGAGAACCAATGTCACCATTTAGGGGAGAGCCCTAAATACCACTGTGCCCATGATACTAAAAAGGAGAGCATATCAGAGTGAAAATTTTTCACACCCCATCTTTTCATAAATGGAAACATCAAGACCCAATAGCACAAAGTAACCTGTTTAGAGATGCTCTGTGAGTTAGTGTAAGAAGTGATTCCAAATCTCAGGTTTCTGATTCTTGGTGCAGAGCTTTCTCTACTAGCCTGACACCAGGTTCAGCGTAATTTTTAAGGGCTCTAACATAATAGTGCAAATAAAATTCAAATTGAAAAATTTTGTAATCCCCTCTCCTCTTCCTCTGCCTACTTTTGGAATAATGCTGGTCTGGGAAGTCATTTAGAAGAAAAATCAGACTAAATTTAGAACTTAGCAGGAATGGGCTTTAAAAGCCAAATGAATAATCTAACCTTAAATCCATCTTGGCAGTTGTTTCTGATACAGATACTTAAATGTATCCCTTTTTGGGAAGTTGAGAACAGGCATGCTTGTTCACCTTGATTTATAGATAAAGAAGTTGATAGATACTGATGTGGGCTAGGGTTCTCACCCAACTTTCAAGCAACACAAGTTTGTTTTTAAAGCTGTGAAGTACTGAGCACTTATTATATACCAATAGGATGCTTTAATATGCATTACTTAATTAAATATGCATGACTTAATTTAATCCTTCTAATGAACCTGTGCCGTGAGTTTAATTATCCTCATTTTAGAGGTGAGGAAAATTAGCTTCTCAAAGATTAAGCAAAAACCTAGAGTCATATGGTTAGTATTTGACCAAGTAAGGATAAGAGCCCTGGTTGTTAAATCTTTGAAGCTTCTACTCTTAAGCACTACACTATAAAACCCCTTCAGGGTATTTTTATTTCAATTTAGAAATATAGAATATTATAAAGAGCAGCAGTCCTATGAATGAGCAGTCAACTGTCACAGGCATTGGGTAGACTGATGTGCTGGCCTCACAACTGTGGTTTTAAATTTTCCATTTACTTAGTATTCATTTAATATTTACTTCTTTAACCAGGTCCCATACTAGACACCCTGGGCATGTTCTGGAGAAATATGTAGAAAAGAAACAATTGAGGAAGACATGAAAGCAATTTATTTTATAGTATGAGAAGGGTATTTCTTGTAAGCGTTGGGAAGCAAAAACACTGGTTAAATCTCCTATCCTGAAACATGGAGGCTACTTAGTATGTTATGTTTGTCTCTTTGCTTGTTTGAAATGAATGAAGTGTTGTAAATGACTCTACATTGAGCTGTGGGCCCTCACAGGAAGAATTGACAAACCGTGCCAGGAAGTTGGGCAAAACTTCACAAAAGAGCAGCTCTTGGAAATGGGTTATGAGAGATGAGGGCTACATGATTTAACATCATCTCTCTTTTGTTTCTTCCTCTCTAAAACAGGCTCTCCAAAAGACGCATTGCCTCCTCAGATCTATTCACCCAATGATCTTGTGGTCTACGAGAAAGAACCGGGTAATTATAGCTGTGCCTCTTAATTTCAGTTAGAGTCTCTTAATGACAAGGAATAAAATGTCATTTAAGTTAATGCATGCAAATAGAGGGCTTTTGTAAGGAAACACAGGAATTGAAACTGACATCAAGGCAGCTCTGGAGATTAGCTCCTCCTCTGTCGTAGATCTCTCAGGCATCTCTGGGATTCTCAGCTTCTCTCTCCACAGCTGCTCCCTTCCTCCCCTGCAGTGGCTCCCCTCTCCTGATTAGTGATTTCTGTCTGATGTACACATTAGCTTGCACACAGCTTGGGTTTGCCAAGACTGTGATATGATCACAAGACATCCTTTAAGCTTCTGCTCCACTGTGGAGGGTCAGGGGTTGGAGCTCGGAGGTGAGACCGTGAATTTAATGGGTTGACAACTGGTAGAACTAGTACACCCTAATCAGAACTCTGTGGGATGTTTCCTATGGCTGTCTGGGTCTCCTTTTAAAAAGGTTTTTTTAGTTTTCATAATTTTCCATTCTGGACAAAAATCATTTGCAACTGACCGAATAAGGCATTGTGTGCTATTCTTCTGGCTCAAAGCCTCCCACAGTTAAACTGAAAACCATAGAAAATCTTAACAATTTTCTATATTGTATCCTTTACAATAAACTCACTCCAAACCCAATGAAAGGTGTAAAAGAACATATTTTTATAATGTACTAAAGATAACAGAGGTCGTGATCAAATGTAGGTAGAGCACAATGATGCCCTCCTGAAACTAAGGTAAGGTTTCAAATAGCGAGCTGCCTGTAAAAAAAAAAACAAAGAACACACAAAGGGGTCTGCCAACCCCAAATGGACCAAATTTCCTAGAATTCATAGTGGCTTTGTATAGTAATATGAACATTATTCCTGCTATTGAGGTAAACCCTTACTAATGACCTAGTGTGTTTCATCTACCTATCATATGGTTACAGAATCTATGTTCATGTTACCTTCCTGCATATTAATATAGAAACTGAAAGGGACAACATAAGAATCATGCATGAGAAGAGGGGATGAGGTAGGACCACGCAGTGAGACAAACTTGCTTTCAAATTTGGATGACAATATAATTTGTCATCTCAACCTGCACACCTTTTGAGAGTGAAAGCAGTTGATATCAATAACTAAGAAAGCAAGCGTAGAACAGAGTTGTCCTGGGCAAACTGGAATGAAAGTCAGTCTGGGTCAAATTCTGGTTTGCCACTTATTAACAATTTCATCTAAGAGGGGCACCTGGGTGGCTCAGTCATTAAGCATCTGCCTTCGGCTCAGGTCATGATCCCAAGGGTCCTGGGATTGAGCCCCACATCAGGCTCCCTGCTCAGCAGGAAGCCTGTTTCTCCCTCTCCTCCTGCCCCTGCTTGTGTTCCCTCTCTCGCTGTGTCTCTGTCTGTCAAATAAATAAATAAAATCTTTAAAAAAAAAAAAAAACCCATGTCATCTAGGAATGGCATTTAACATCCTTAAGCATTAGTTCTCACATCTATAAAACATGAATTTTAAAAAATACCCCATAGGGGGCGCCTGGGTGGCTCAGTTGGTTAAGTGACTGCCTTCGGCTCAGGTCATGATCCTGGAGTCCCGGGATCGAGTCCCGCATCGGGCTCCCTGCTCGGCGGGGGGTCTGCTTCTCCCTCTGACCCTCCTCCCTCTCATGCTCTCTGTCTCTCATTCTCTCTCTCTCAAATAAATAAATAAAATCTTAAAAAAAAAAATACCCCATAGTATTTTGTTAAAATTAAATAAGGTCCCTTGTAAGTATAAATATTTAGCACAGTGAATTATATAAAGTTCTTAGTGAGGGTGCAGCTGCCCTTCCTGTTATTATCATTTTCTGCCTGGAGATCCCCCTGACCTCATGTTCCATCTCAGGAAGAAAACATAGATTTGTTCATCATAAATAGTAGTATTTATAAACATATAAATGTTTGCATTATATATATATGTATATATGTAAATTGTCTTTAAACTTACTGACTGCACCCTGATAACCTGAGCATTTCAAGATCTGGCCTGCCCCTCAGTGTTGGCACTGCCCCATCTTTTCTGCACCAAGCATCGAAGGTCTGGAGACTCTCTCCTTAGTCACTGTTCGTGAGGGAAGTAACAAAGGATAAGAGTAGTCCATGGAAGTTTAGGGCTAAAAAGGTTGTTGTCAGAGCCTCTTTAAACAAATACTGCCATGGTACAGGATTTATGGATTGTATAAAAAGATGGTCATTCTGGAAATTTTGTATAAAACTGCCGTACTTCTTTTCTTGGTTTGTTTATTTTGCAATGAAGTATGGTACGTTACTATGGTAGGACACTTGAAAATTACTCAGAAGTATTTAAGTACACTTTTATAGCTTCTGATTAGTCACAGAGTGAAACCAGTGTAGCCATTGAAGGTTACAAACTGATGGGTTAACTTGTTTTTTTTAGGAGAGGAGCTACTCATCCCCTGTACAGTCTATTTCACTTTCCTGAAGGATGCTCGCAATGAGGTTTGGTGGACCATTGACGGAAAAAAGCCAGACGACACCAATATCGATGTAACTGTTAATGAAAGGTACCATTGGCTCAGCCAAGGGGTGATTGACGTTTGTCCCTCAACTGAATAGCCTCTGGCTTATACTAATCATTGAAAGTAAAAACTCTGATGTTGGCCCATCATTACCAAAAATCTGCAAGATTTTCAAGTCTTTAGTGGCTGCATCCCGAAGCAGGATTACTAGACATTCAATTCAAGACCCAGATATCTTCTAATAATCACACATTCATGACTCCCACTTGAAAGTAGATGGGGTGCATAGCCCACATGAATGAAGGGCCACAATACAGGGCTCTGAATACATGAAAGCTGGTCAGTGTGGCCCTGTTCTTTTCTTTCTCAAGTCTGTATTTATGCCTCAGATAAATTGTATTAGTTTCTTGTCTTGCATTAAACACGTATTTCCTATCTTCCTCCTCATTCTTAACTCACATAGCATGCATGTTACATTTATAATTGATAATTATTTTTTTAAATATTGGCTAAATACATTCACATTCTTTAAATTTTATTTTTAAAGTGGATGAGGTGGTAATATAGCCCACTCTTAAAATAACAATCTGGGTCATTTTATTTCTAAATAAATATAAATTTTTGAAGGGGATTGGATTGACAAGGAGGAAAATATGGGTCTTTGAAGACAAAAGATCCTTCCGTAAGTGAAGTACACAACTGCAAGACAACAGTTGGTTCACAGCGACAATAAATAAAAATTAGCAGCTGACCAACTACATGACAAAGTAGTTCTAAGGCCGTGAGCCTTAACATGATATGCAAATACATCTTTGGCTACTTGAACTTAAAGATGTGTTGTTCCTAATAGTAAACTCACACTTTGCACAGAAGTTATAAAATTTCTGCTTTACATCAAGTGCTATGCAAGATACTTTGTCCCTAACTGAGTAGATTTTATCAGAGTAGGAGTGATAGAGCAGAAATTTCAATATATTGTGATAAATGCAGTGACAAGAATATTGGATATTATCGGAAGGTTTAGTTGAGGATTCCAGTCAGTTTTAGGGGATTAGGCAGTGCTTCTCAGATGGTACAGTACCTAAATAAAGATTTGAAGGATAAGTAGAAATAAACTAGGTAAAGAAATAGAGAAAATGTTCCTGGTTAAAGGAACGTCATGTGCAGTGGCTGGAATTTAGAGAAGCAGCGCATATTTAAAGGTACAGAAGGAGTCTCCTGAAATTGGAGCAGTTTTTGCAGAAGGAATTGATTAAAGATGTGGCTGGAGGCACAAAGGGAGACTTATTAATCACTTAAGGAATTCTGAACATTGTGGTTCCTATCCTCATAATAATAACTAATGAATGATAATGAAGATCATGCTGTCTGTCCTCACTGCTATGGCAACACAACTCAGTGTCCAGAGTGGAGCAGTGCAGCTCAGTTTAGGCTAAACCCGTCACAACCCTTGACCAAGTTCTCATGACTGACGGTCAGCCTCATTGGAAGGAGAACCTGGATGTCGGCTATAGGAGAGAGATTTTGTTTTCCCTTTGGAGCAAGTAGTTCCAAGGGATTTTAAATCTTGGTCTTAGACCCAAAGCACTTGATCACTGACATGCTGAGATTACGATGAATTTATTTTCATAAAGCTTACTTGCTTTGAGAAGTCTCTTCTTTTTATGTTAGGATTTAACCCATGGAGTTTCAGCCTTTTTACTGAAATATTCTACCTGTGTTCAAAATCCAAGCTTTGGGAATCCCCTAGCTATATGAGCATGAACTATTGCTGAGGATGATAATAATTGCCTATATGAATATTTATTAAGAATTGTTCTAATACTTACACATTGACATACTCAATCCTCAGAGTTCTTGGGTAAGTCAATACATGTGATGCACTGTGTAGGCATTGCTACTTACCTCTCTTTCAAAGGAGGAACTCAAGACTTGGAAAGATTAGTTACTGTGCCCAAAGTATCTAGCCAGTAAATGGCAAAGCTTGGATCAAAACCCAGATGGATCTGGCCTCAGAAGCTTCTCTCTACACTGATACAGAATACTATCTCAGAAGTTTGAGGGAAGGAGACATTTTGCCCTGAAGAGAGATCTGCCGTACGTTGCCAGCAATGGGATTTGATCTGGATACTGGGATTGTGTGTGGTATAGAAGGTAAAGAATGGCAATGGAATCTAGAAGCTACCCTCCCTTTGTAACCATTGGATCTCAGGCAACACAGCTCATGGACGTTGTGGCCGCCCTCACCTCGGGGCCCTGTGGTTGTCTCCTTATCTGATTCACACATAGCACATGGCCCTGCGGTCTCATTCACGCTTTGGTTTTCTTCCCCCTATTTCTAGTGTAAGTTTGACTGCAACTGAAGATGAAACAAGAACTCACATTTTGAACATCAAAAAAGTTACTGCTGAGGATCTCAAGCGCAACTATGTCTGTCACGCTAGAAACGCCAAAGGGGAGGTTGACAAAGCAGCCAAGGTGAAACAGAAAGGTAATGGATGCACTCAGCAGATGCGTCTGTGAACTCCAAATGTAACAATGTGGTGAATAAGGAAAATGAGAAGACAGTGCTCCAGCACCTAGCACCTCTGGCACATAGTAATGAATCAAAGGTGAATTGAAAAAATCTTGAGGGAAAGTTTCCATCTATGTGAAGACACTCGAAATGTTGTTTCTCATACTTTTAGCAACTTAGTGCACATATGTGGCCAAAAAATCCATTTGATTATGAAAATGAGGCATAATTTTATATCAGTACAGTCATGAAAAATGAAAAATAAAGAAAATATTTAAAGCTACCAAAGACATAGAGACTCTATAGTGCTAGAGTCACATATAATTGTTGGCTTGTAAAGACCTTTTTAGAAATCATTGATGGCAGAGTTCAAGGGCCATAAAAATGACCATACCATATGACTTAATACTTTTGGAATTTTTCCTGAACAAATAACAGAAAGAGAATTATGTACCCATTGCTATTCTTAGAAGCATTATCTATAATAATGAAACATTATAAATAGCAACCATCTAATTATATTCAAGTAGTTAAGTAAAATATAAACTATTTTTTCTCAAAAATGTAATTTTAAAATGATCATTATAAATACTATGTATCAGTATTCAAACAGATTTAGAACATACCACTAGCCACAATTGCTAAAATGAAAATTATTTAAACTATGACTTAAGGATTTCTATGTTGATATTACTAATTTTTTCTACAATAAATAAAAGTGATAAAGCTCTCTTGTGTGAGCTGTTGCTACTGAAACAGACAATGTCTAAAATTATCTTTGGGTCTCTCACCTAACACAGAACCCCAGACAATTAATCCCTTCAAGAATGTGTTTCAGTGACCTAGAGAAAGATAATGATGATTTATCACACATGCAGTCACGTCATTCAGAATCATCATGGATCCTTCTGTCAGATAGAGCCTATAATATTTATACCAAAAGTAAAAAAAGAAAAAAGAAAAAGAAATTAATTCATAGCTATTACATTTTGCAGTGGGATTCAAACCTTTTTTTTTTTTTTTAAAGCTGATGCAAAAACAGCCTTCACTGTAACATTTCATTATAATTTAGAAAGTAAAAAGCAAAGTCCTCAAGTCTATATGCCACTTAAGAAGTCTTAGGGGATTGGTTCTGGATAGTTCATTGCTTCTGCCCCTCAGAAGCCAGTGTAAAGCAACGAGACTCAACCAAATAATATAAGACAGTTTCCCAAAGTTAGTTCCTAAGAATACTACTAGGACTCTTTATAGTACTGCAGTTCGTTATATGTACTCTAGACTCAGACGGCCTGTGGTGCATCCTAACTCTGTGATCTTGAAAAAATCACTTAACCTCTCAGAGCTTCAATTTCTTTATGTAAGTAGGCAAATGATACCACTGCCACATAAGGTTGTTTTAAGGTACTCAGCACAATTACTGGCCTATACAGATATATATTAAGTGCTCAACAAATATTAAGTCTACTTATTACTTCCACAAAATTTTCACAGGCGTTATTTGACAAAGACTTTTACAGTAAATAAAGTATCATTAAAGGCTAGGTTAAACAAAATCAATCAAGTTATTTTAGTCAAGGGCCCCTTAGAGTCTTTACATTATTAACACTTGGTGTGAATACCTGAGGGGAATTGGAACATAGGGGGCAGGGGTTTTTTTTGTTTTTGTTTTTTCAAATATATTTGATTCCAGAAGTATGGAGCATTTTGTGGGACTCGTTTTTTGAAGCATGTGTTTTGGGAAACAATTATGGAGGATGACATAAATTAATTACTTATTGTCAGGTAGGATTGAACAATCAATTAAAATCATGTTTAGTCTAGGAGTGATGCAGAAGTTTGCCTGCCAGAGCTATGTGAGTAGCTCCCTTTCACACAAGGCCATGCTCTGAATGGTTGAGTATGAATGGCATCAGGAACGTGAAATGACAGGTGCATCCACTGACTGGATGATCTGTGCTGAAATTACGTTAGTATTACATAGAATCCAGCCTGGGCTGTGTACATCTTGTGGTACCAGAGGTGTTGAGGGTTTATAACGTGGCTTCTATTCTGGGCCAGGTAATGCTGGGATTCAGAGGGGATATCTGTATTCACATTCATACGTCATATATAGTGAGTCCTTCTCTGGATTCATTGACAAAGCATTCTATGTCTTTCATCAAAAAGATGACAGGAAGAGCTCAAAATAAAAAGAATTCACTGGGATAGGTCTTTGGACAGTGCAATTTCATCTAGTCAGTTAAAGCAAAGTATCAAAGGAGAGGCAGCTGATGTAAATGTGTTAAACATGGAGTTGTTTTATAATAGGAGAGAGGTGGGGACTAATGCAAGGTGTGTTGAACTTTATGAGAAACTGCCAAACCTATTTTCGAAGAGGTTGTACCATTTTATACTTTCATTAGCAATGTATATAAATTCCAGGTGCTCTACATCCTTACCAACTTTTGGAGTTGTCAGATTTTTCAATTTTAGCCATCCTAGTAAGTGGGTACTGGTATCACACTATAGTTTTTTTAATTTGCATTTTCAGATACTAGTGATGTTGAGTACTTTTTTATGGACTTACTGACCATTAATTAATAGTTCTTCCTTTGTGAAGTAGCCATTAAAATCTTTAGCACATTTTGTTCTTGGATTGTTTGTTAATGATATATATATATCAGATATATGACTTTGTGGATATTTTCACTATTGTGCATTCATTTTACTTTTGATGAGCAGAATTTTAAAACATTTGATGAAGTCCATTTTATCACTTTCTTCTATTATGGTTAGTACTTTCTAAATCCTGTGTTAACAATCTTTGATTTTTGAAAATCTTAGCTTTTTCTTTTATACTTTAGCCTATGATTCATTTCAAAATTGTTTTTATACTGTGAGGTATGGATTAAGTTTTAGTGTCTTGTTTTATTTTGTTTTACATATAGAAATCAGTTCTAGCCTCATATTGAAAAATCTCTCCCTTTTTTACTGAATTGTTTTGACAACTTAGCCTAAAATAATTAACTCTGTGAGTGTGGGTCTATGTCTCCATTCCCTATTCTGTTCTATCAATGTGTTCGTCTCTCTTTAGTCAAATACTACTTTGTCTTGACTAATAGCTTTAAAGTAAGTCATGAAGTCAGAAACTATTGTCTTCCTCCTTTTTTCTCTTCAAAGATTAATCTGACTATTCTGAAAACCATATTATTCTTTCATACAGGTTTTAGTATCAGCTTGTAAATTTCTACATAAGAGTGTGCTGGGATTAGATTGGGATCATATTAAATTTATAAGCTGATTTGGGGAGAATTGAAATCATAATGATATTGAATTTTCCAATCCATGAACATGATATATCTCTCAATTTATTTAGTTCTCATTGATTTTTCTGAGCTTTTTTTTTTTAGTTTATGTAAACAGGTCTTGCACATGTTAAATTTAGCCCTAAGTATTTTGTTTCTGTTGCTATTATAATGGTATTTTTAAAATTCCACTTTTCAATTGCTCATTGATCAAAAATAGAAATGAATTAGTTGAGTTTTATGTTTTGATCTTGGTCTTTTGACTTTTCCAAATTCACTGCTTAAATGGGGTTTCTGCTTGTTTTGTTTGTTAGGTTCCTTAGCATTTTCTATACACTTGATTGTGTCACCCATATATAAACATACTTTTCCTCCTTCCTTTCCAAACATTACACCTTTGATTTCTTTTTTCTGCCTCTTTCACTCTCTTGGATCTCCCAGTACCATGATCAGTAGAAATCAAAGCAGCCATCCTTGCATTGTTCCCTATCTTAGAGGATATGCATTCAGTTTTTATATATTAAATATGATGTTAATTATAGGTTTTTTTGTAGCTGACTTTTATCTATGTGAGGGATTAATTTATTTTTGGTTTGCTGAGAGAATTATAATTCCCATGTGTGTGTGTGTGTTTGTGTGTGTGTATATATATATATATATATATATAAAAATTATGAGTATATATATATATACATATATATGTATAAATGATGAGTGTCTGTTGAAATTTATCAAATTCTTGGTGTAGTTTTATTTTACTATATCTTACTTAGGGTTCTTTAAACTTCTTGGTTCCATGAGTTTATTATATTTTTCATTTACTTTGAAAAAAACTTCAGTCATTATTTCTTCAGATATGTTTTGCTCATTCATTCATTCATTCTTTCCTTTTCTTCTAGTAGTCCCATTGAATTTAATATAGATCACTCAGGGTTGTTCCACAGGCCACTGAAGTTCTCATTTTTATTTCATCCTTTCTTTGTTCCTGTGTTTCAATTTGGGTAGTTTCTAATTTCCACTAATCATTTCTTTATTGATGTTTAATCTGCAGCAATTTTAATTTCAGAATTGTATTTTTCAGTTTTTGGATTTCCATTTCTCCATAAAAATATCCCTACTGATATTTTCTATTTGCTGTTAATGATGTTCATCGTCTTTTTTTTTAATTCAACAGGAATATTTATAATACTCATTTTAAAGTGCTTATCTGCTAATTCCATCATCTTTGTCAATTCTGATTTGGGTTTTTTTAAAGATTTATTTATTTATTTGAGAGAGAGAGAGAGTATGCAAACAGGGGGAGGGGCAAAGGAAGAGGGAGAGAGAATCTCAAGCTGACTCCCAGCAGAGTGCAGAGCCCGAGGTGGGGCTTGATCTTAGGACCCTGAGATCATGACCTGAGTCAAAGCCAAGAGTCAGACGCTTAGCTGATAGAGCCATCCAGGTGCCCCTCTGATTCTGTTTTTATTGGCTGATTTTTCTTCGGATTATGGGTCTTTTTTTTTTTTCTTTTTCTTGTTTTTTTTTTTTTAAACATATGCTGGACATTATGTATGTTGCATTATTGAGTGTCTGATTTTTGAAAGCGAGTATTGTTTTATTCTCATAGGGAGTTAATTTACTGGCTTAACAGCTTGCTTTTTTGAAGTGTTCTGCTTACCTTTGCTAGAGTACATCTAAAAAACAGCCTTTTCTCCAAGGCCAGACTGGACATATCTAGACTATCTGGGGTCTCTACCTAACACACGGGGAGCTACCCAAAGTGTCTTTACTCTGGTCTTAACTCAAGTGTCCCCCAGCCCTACATGTGCACCTAGAGTTGTTCAGTTCCCAGTCTCCTGGAAGCTGTTCCTTCCCTGGTAGTTTCTTTCACTAGCCCCTGTTCTTTGCCTGATCTTGTCAAGCGTCATCCGACCTATGCAGAGCTTTATATTTTTCCAAAGACTTGAGGTCACCCCTTGCAGACTTATAGAGTGCTTCTTCCACACAGTGTTCTTCCCTCTTTACCCAGGCCTGTAAATTCAACCCAACTCAGTAGTTCTGAACTGTGATTCCTGTGTCCTTAGCTGACCGTGATGACTATACTTGTGGTTTTTCCTGTTCTCTGTCATGGTCTGAAAGTGCCTTCAGGCAAGAAGCCAGTGTGATGGTGGGGCTCAACTGTTTGGTGTCCTTTCTCACCCAGATTGCACACAGACCAACTACCAGTGGGTCCACCTTAGGAAAACTGTCATTGTAAATACTATGGTGAGAAAGCCACTCCAGTATCCATTCCTTCTCTAAGGTCAGAGGCTGATGGGCAAAATGCACACATTTTAAAACACTATGATAGTCAAACAAAGCAGGTCTGTGGGTTAATTCAGTGAGAGCTCTCTGGTTTACTGTCACCTAAATAAAACATTCTAATTGTCATTCAGAGAAGTGGTCGCTACATGATTCCCCAAAT